TTAAATTCTTCTTTAACTGCGTTTCCCTAATGCGTAACTTAACTTATATATAAAGACAGAAATAAATGTGATAATAAAACGATTTTCTCAAAAACTTAATGGCCATTTTCGGTGTCATCGCAGAGAAACAATTTCTTTAAAACGTATCGACTTACCGGCTACTGGTTCCACGAGTTCCTCTTCGGTATCCGATTGAATGTGCTTCACCATGACGATACCGCCGATCTGAATGTCCTTGACAGGCGCGTAATGACTACCCTCTACCAATTGTATCACTTTCAGCTGTTGTCTCAGCACGCGAGCCGGATTCTGAAGGATCTCGAAGTTAGGCTCAGCTTCCTTTTTCTCCTTCTCCGTCGTCTTCTCGCCCTCGTCCTTGCCCTTCTTCTCGACTTTTTCCTTCGTTTCTTTCACTTCCTTCGCTGGCTCCTTCTCTTTCTTCTTCTCTTCTTTCTCCTTGGCCGCCGCCTCGACAGTCTCCTTCGTTGTCTCTGGTGGATCCTGCGATTAAAAATTAAACGACGAAAATAAAAAAAAGAAGGAAGCAATTCCAGCCTGTAGAAGCATCGTTTATCTGGCTTTGCGGCGAGTCAGTGCGTTAAGAGATTGGTCTTCGCTCTAGGAAAACGGATGACCCGGAGAGATAATCAGTTACGATTATCTGGAAAGAAAATCGTGCAAGGAGCGGAGGTAACATCGCATAAGCGAGACGAGAGGAGGGAAAATTGTGAAGAGTTCTGAGATTTATCAAAGATATCTGCGAGACTGTTTGAGGGCTTAGTGGAAAAGTGGGATACGAGTGCATCGTTTTTTAAAAACCAGATAAGCACCGGAAACCGTGTACGAGAGGTTTATTTATCCGAAACTTTAAGCCTTTAAAAATACATATAATATATCTTACGTATTTTAATATCTTAGCACTTTAATATCTAAGTTTAGTTTCGTCCACTAATTTCTCAACTTTAAAATTTCCCCACTTGTGATCCCCTCTCTCAACCTCTCGCTCGTGACTCTGCGAAACCGATCAATGTTGACAATACGACAACCGCTCGACGACTGAACGACGAAATATTCGAGAAAATTGTTCGAACTCACCACTTCCATTTTTTCGTGAGAATCGCGAGCGCGCCTCTCGGATTCACGTCTACGAGCTCTGGCAGCGATGCTGAGGACAGCGGTCGTGATCTTCTCTCTTTCCTCGCGTTTCTTCTCTTCGAGAGGCGCGGGATAGGCATAGACGCTTGGCCTGGCGTTCGAACGAATTTCCAGCTTTGGCATCTTTAGTTGAGCATTCAGAGCGATTATACAAGTCGGAGTAAAGGCCAGAGCCAAGCAATGGGCCAATGGGAACCAATACCAGTACTGGGTGAATACTAATGCACCGACCACTGCCAGCATGTTCGTGTGACCTGTTCTTGATTGCAGCGATACCGTCACGTTTCGGCCACCTGGAACCATTATCATTCTTACGTACAAGCGAATATTGAATATGCAAATTCATATTTTTATGAGCATCGAAGAAATGGGGCCTAGCCAAAGATTCTCTCTGTTTAATAAATAAATAAATGTATCGTAACTCGCGAGATATCCAACTATGTCGCGGCAGTTTTTCAAATTTTTTCTTTCGCGAAAGATATTGAATTGTTTTGTAGCGGCACGTGAGTCATCGGACGATTCGAATCGGCAGTGACTCATATTGTTGTGCCTTAGAGCGTCAACGTTGTTTTCATTCGCGAGCTTCAAGAATAAACGAACTCCGGACAAAAACATTATCACCGTTGTGAGTTATCGTCAACAGGAATCACATTTGAACTTTTTCTAAGTTCACTGGTCGATAAAAATAGACGAACATGTTCTCTAGGTGGAAGAGTGTTTAGAGCGACGATTACAATCGACGAACGCTATTTCTGTACTCGTACTCGAAGTGATTTTTAATATACACCGACTATTATAATCTTATCGCTTGTCTCTTTAATAAACTAACACGTTTAATACCATCTCGGTTTCGTCACGCGATATTTCCATAAGTAGGTATTGTCTTTGTAGATATGTTTTGAAGTTTAGGATGTTCTCTTATGATATCGTTGGGTTATAATTGATTAGAAAATAGATCGCTTAATTTCAGAATCCTTCAATTCAATTTATACTCTACGCCTTACGTCGTCGATACGAACATGTTCAAGATTGCACGTTCAATACGTTGCGACCTAATGCAATAAATAGCGGACCTTTCGTACAGTGTGTACGTTCTGTATATTTTTGCAGTCTTTAAACCTCTCATAAATTCATTAGGAACGTTCGCGTTCCATTAATAAGCAATTAAAAGATGTTTAAATAATTGCTATTGCCTTACCTGCAGACGATAAATTACACATTTGCAGGGGAAACACGGTGGACAAGTTAATTAGTTCGCCTGCCTTGATCAAATTTATGACCCAACTTCTTCAAGTGTAATTCCCTAGTTGAACTATTTCGCTCCATTATTGTTTAAAATAGAGATAGAGAATCCGTTTCGCATATATTTAGACTTTTAGTGGCAATAATACATTTGCAATAACAATGCGCAATTGCTACACGTAACTCGTACAACTTAAGTCTTCTTTCTCGTTCCATTGTGTACCACGATACGCTAATTAGTTCCCTTTATGAATTATTAGGTTGCCCGAAAAGTTTCTTTCGTTTTATGAGGAAATAATAGACGCACAACGTTTTTTCTTTTATATTATCTTGTCGATCTATTTTGTTCTGTTGAGATAAACACCGCGACATTTCACGCATTTGGTTTCACGTTTGTACGAAGCTGCACTGTTGTAAAAAACACGAAAGAAAGACAACTTAATATAATACTTGGAGTACCTGTACGATTCTCGAAGTCCAATACGTAAAACTGCCACTTAGGTTTCACGTTTTAAGAGGAAAATCGCCCCATATCATAAATTTTAATAAATTCCTGTATTACGTTAAAAAAGAATTGCAATATTTCTTTCGAATAATATTCTGCTTGAGACCTTCCATTACCAAAAAAAAAACTATTTCTTCGCGTTACAAAGAAACTCTTAACTCAGTTGTTCCACGATATCGAAAGCATCGGAACTGAAAAATAACCTGCACTGTGATAAAACAAATCCGCAATCATCCAGACACATCGAACGTATCAGACACTTCAAAAGGAAGCGATCAGCTTGTAACTTACCCCTCAAACAACGTCGCAACAACCGACGCTGCAACGATAAACGGAGAAGTTTCGATTTCGCTATTTCCCGTCGACGAGAGGACAAGCTTCGTAATAAGAACCTTTGATCGTCCATCTGTATTATATTTCCGTGCTAAGAAGACTTATCGAGTATCGTCCAATTTCACCCTAGCCCTTTCATCGACTGATTCTTCGCCGAATTCTATCTCCCTATCGTTGGTGAAATTTCTCAAGTTTGAGAAAAATCGGACCGAGTCGTTGCCTACACGATACGTACACTGAGGACTTGTACGCAAATCCATAAGTTTCACAGCATAATTAAGCAATTAGAATCTCTATAGAACATCGCGTTAGCTACCCGCTATCATAGAAAGCAGTATACTTTGGATATTTTATAAATTCTCTCTAATTACGCGCGCATTTGTACGTTGCGCTTTCAAGTTCAAAAGCGATTCGAATTCGTTGTGAAACAAAGATGAGATCGAAATTTAAGCAGACCGCGGATAGCTTTGCGCCTGTGGGAGATTTAAGAACGAAGATATATTATAATGCTCGCTATAGTATTTAATACGCAGAACAAATCTCTGCTTGCGTTTCATTTCTCTAATTGCGAGCATAAAAATCTGAATTTGCACGAACATCCGCGATCTAAGATGACGGCAACGAAAGAGAACGAACGTCGTTTCAAAAGTTAACTCACCAGCGTCGATGATACCCTGGGCCAAGATAGCGCCGAACTTCGCCATTACGTCCTCGTGTTTGTCCACGACGACCTTCGCGTACAACGCCCTGAAATCTTTGACGCGGGCACACGTCGCCTCGGTTTGCTGGATCAAGATCATCGCAGACGCGATCAGAGCACCCTGACGAACAAAGTTCACCGAATCATTCGTCATAGGATCCAACAGGGCTATGGCCTCCTTCAAGCCTGTGCCAGCGCACGCTATTCCCAAGGCCATCGCTGCGCCGTATCTCACGTGAGGATTGTAGCTTTCCGCCAGCAACGAAACCACACTGGGACATTGCTCCGGTGTTCTGCAACAAAAATAACAAAGCTCTCCATTAACTGATTTATATACCGGATGAGAGATGATGTATGGTTCGTTGAGATAATGCATTCGCGAGATTCATCGATCATACAGTTTCAAGGTTGTTTTTGACGTAATTGCATGGTTTGGATGGAGCTGTTAGGTCGCGAGGAATCTATTCACTCTGAATCGGGCCGAATCTCGTCACGAGCGAGTAGACTGCGAGGAATCTATTCGCCGTATATTGATGTGAATCTCGTCACGAGCGAGTAGATTGCGAGGAATGTATTCGTTGCGAATCTACGGTGAAATGGAAACGTGGTTGTCCTTTGATCGGGCTCACGGGCATTTCGATGAGAAATTTGGAAATTCGTGGATTACACGGTTCAACGTAACGCGAAGATAAATCGAGACGCTCGTTGCTAGCACCGTGTCTTAGTTGAGAATGGAATTGCAACGATGTTTACGACATTCGAGGTAATAAAAAATCTCGGTGTAACACAAAGGTAGTAAAAAGATTTGTGGGGTTCCAATTAATCCTTAGATCCTTAACAGATACCACGAAACACGTAGAAACATCGTCTGCGTCGTTTTTCATATATAATACGATAATATAAAAAAATAAACAAATAACCAAACTGCTAATAATGCAACTTCTCTTTATCAAAGAAAAAAGACACCGTAGAAAATGGATTTTTCGCAAATTCAACATGGAAAGATGAAGTTAAACGCGAAATGTCGCGACACTAAGTGCATAATCCTGTATACCGATGTTTCAGGAAGACGACTCCGTGCTGGTGGACGGCGCGTGTCAAATACCGGATCCTCTGTACAAGTTGATCGGCAGCATAATCTGCTTTTACATACCACTGGGCGTGATGTTGCTTACGTACGCTTTGACAGTCAGACTGTTGGCGAAGCAGCAACAGAATATAGGAGGAACTGCAGGTTGGTCCTCCGGATGGCTGGGTGGCCCGCAGGGCCCACCCTCGGGAGGTTAGTGTATTATCAGGTACACTGACCCACTACATTCGCGATTCCATCGTTCCACGACACCCGTTTCAACGCACTCCGCTCATATCACGTACTGTTTCCTTTCTAATTTCTAAATTTCTTGTCGTTCGTGAGTACTATGATTCCCTCCCCTATCCTTTTACACGTCGTCCGATTTTCTATGGTATTTTACGTTTACGTTATATGTACAAAGAGAGAGAGAGAGAGGGGGATTCGATGAAGAAGACGTCAAAATTTTGCTATTATCACTCGGTTATCCACCAAACGGAGAAATAAATATCAATTTACGAAAAACGTTCAATTTTCTATCATCCAAGTCATCTAAATTGTGGTAAAAATTATTTCAAATGTCCACTACGAACGATCCTACGCTCTCAATATGGCAGAGTTTTGAGAAAGATGTGGAAACGGACAAAAATGATATGCTTCGAATATAAATTTCGTTCGTTACTTTTTAATAAACATGAAATTAATTCAAGTCTCTTAAAAATGTATTCGCTCGAAAATGAAAAAAAGGTTCTGACAATGTACGCAGAGAAAAAATAAAATATAATAAAATAAAGACTGATTAACAAACATTTGAGTTGGATTACTTATTCCGAAGTATACTAGGCGAACTGTAAGATCAAAGATAAGAAGATAAGCGAGATGCGGCATCACGGTGCTTTGACAGGTTCTCGGAAAGTTCGCCCTCTTTAACTTCCAAGCGTCTAAAATTCCAATATTTTTCTATACGTAGAAGTTTAGAAGGGTTTTGCTTATAATAAACGCGTTATTCGCAAAAACGGGAACCTGTGCAATTATTTGTTTCGAGAGTGGAGAAAACAGATTGAGCTACGGCCAAGAAAGAAGTTTTAATGCTTGTAAAAGGCCAGAAGTTTCTACGTGACTGCCTGTTGCTTATGGTTAATCGATTATGTATTTCGAAGAAGTTGGCCGACTGGCTGCAGGTTATCGATTTTCAAATGGAACTATCGAATCGATCTACCGGAGAAGAAGTAATTCATAGGAGGAAAGTTTATGTAACTCTTTTCTGTCCTGTTATTTACAAAAGCCTCTGGAAATTCTTCGAACGAGCAGTAAAGCAATGGAATGTGAAGTGCTTCTATAATGTCGGTATTAAAAGAGAAAGTTCGTGTATCTTGGGAAGTTCGGTTCGAGCAAGCGAACGATGAAGTAAAGGAAAGTATTAGATTTCATATTATGAAGTTTCGAGATTGGAAAGTTCCTAAAAAAAAATAAAAAAAATAAAAAAGAGAAGGAGAAAAAAATTAAAAAAGAAAAACGAACTTGGCGAATTTTTCAGTTTCTTTAAACGTACGTTACGAATGTAATGAAAATTAATATCGTTTGAAAATGACTAGAAAATTAGTAAAATTAACAGTAGAGCGATTAAACGACTCGTTCGATATCAAGACGAATAAAAACAAGACAAAAATGTTGTATTAACATGTCATAGATATATCGAGTACGAGCTGAGGATTCAAGCGATACACATCAATTTTCTATTATTTTTCATAAGATAGTTTCTTGTATTTATTAACGCGAACCTTTATTTATTACTATAAGAAGAATTTGAAGTTACGAAAACATATTTTGCGGTAGAGATCGAAGCTGAAACTTGATAATTACGAAGCCAAAGAATACCATTTTGAAACTGTTAATTCAAACTGTCAAAGTTCATATTTGCATCGCCGTAACATCGCTGTACTATAAAAATATGAATTAACATAGTAAATACGGGAAACGTGAATTAATAGGAGAAATACGGGAAATATAAAGTACGAATTAATACGACACACAGCAAGATGATATTTATGCTGCATATTGATATTTACGGGCTAAGTTTACCGAACTAACATTTCACTTGTCGGACACATTCGATAAAAATCCAATAAAATAAATATTTCAATTTGTCGAATAAAAACTATGCTTGGCTGTATCGTACGGATGTATTTTCAATGTAAATCTAAATTACCAAGCTGTCAGCAATATCGTCGAGCTTTGCTTTTCTTGCTGTTTGCCATCTAACGCGTGGAAAAATTTGCAAAATCGTGAAACCGGCGAGCACGTTGAATTCCGCAGTTCGCCCCACTGCAAACGAATAAACGTAGGCGTAAAAAGACAGAACGTTACGTCGACGATATTTCATCGTTTCGAAGGGAACGCGTCGACGTTCGGCACGTTCGCGCGTCGACGAATCTCTAACGTCAAAAAAAATCAGACAGCTTCTGCAAAGCGATAATCTTCGAGTGAAATATCGTCCAGCGGTACGTGACAATAGAAACGAAAGATAGAAAATCGAAGGTTTATACTCTGACATTTAAACAGTCTGTCGTTTTAATTGCTATTAATAAATTGCATTCACAGGTATAAACAAAATGTAAAAGATAGTATTTAAAAGGAAACAGGAGGAAACACGAGAAATAATGCAGTAACAATCAAAGTAATAAAATAACAGAGGAGATATTGCAATTTGTTTTATGAGAGTCACGCAACAATATAAAATTTCCACGCATCCTTTGTCATTATTACGGGTTCGTTCTACCTACAGCGCCGGCATTGCGTCATGAATCATCACCCCACGTTCCCCTGATCAAATATTATTAACCATTTTCCTCCATCTCTGACGCTAGACATCATTTCCATTTTGCTCGTCCACGTGCCAGAATTATCCCCGACAAACAAGAAGTTTTTCCTCGCGTTTCAACGAAAGAATGAAATGTCAAACTTACTTTCGAGCATTGTCTCGCGGACTCCACACTTTTTATCGCCCTTACTCCGGGTCTGAACTTAACAAAGCGAGTTATCGCGCTGCTTTTACAGCGAAATTTTAAAACGAAGTGTTCTTTAATTGAAAAAAAAGGAAAAAAAAAAAGAAAAGAAAAGAAGGTAAAAAAGGTGACGTTGAAACCCGACGAAGAAGATATCTTATCGTCGGAAAACTTGGAAGCTTAGCGATCGTTTTAGATTCTCCGCTACAATACAAGTTGTATAGGGCGATCGTAAATAACAAAGATGTTAGTTTCGCGAGCAAAGAATTTCCTCCACCTACGTGAGAATTACGCAACGATATTTCACTTGCGAGCTACAATTAAATTAACTAAATGCCAAAAATTCTTGTCTGTCCGCTTCTATTACGACGAATCATCCTCCCAATTTTCCATTAATCGGTGCTGCCAATAATCGACCATTCTGTCAATCGATGTTAGCCAAGCTCCCATTCACGACCACACACTCACAGACAAAAAGACAAGGAAAAAAGAAGTGGAATGGAGAGGAAGAAGAAGAAAATGAAAATGAAATAAGAGAATCACGAGCAAAAAGACGATAAAATCCTAGCCGATTTCGTCTGATCTCGGATCAAAGTCGGAACCGATAACAACATTTTCGTGGCGAAGGGGCGATTTTTAATCAAAGCCAGAGGGAATCGAACGGAACGTAAACGCGAATAGCCTCCGTGTCGTTCGTGTCTGTCGGGGAGCTTGCCGAGAGAGGGTATTACAGAGAATTTCGGTGTAATCCGGCAACGTTTCCCGGCCTTTGCCTTGGCGCGATTCGGCGGAGATTGCGATTAAGAGTTCTATAGATTGGCCGGCCTCTTTGTTCGACGGCGCAGCTTCCTTCGTGAAAGAAATTAAACCCTTTCCCTTCCCTCGAGCCATCCAAAGTGAGATTCCGTTGTCACGGGGAAAAAAACGAGCTCGTGAGAAAAATCGTTTGTCGAGGGGACGCGCTAATTACCAGCATGAGGTCTCTAGGGAATTTCTAGGGAATTTACGTGTTAGCTACACGCTGCTTTCCTCGGTTAAAACGTCCTCTTTAATATCTTCTTCGTATATTAATATTTTCGTACGTTGAGGTATTTGAAATTGTTGGTATTTTTAACTTTTTTTCACTACGACAAGGGAAAGTTCCTCTTGCAAAGTCATTTTAAAACGAATTTCAAAAGAGCTTCGTTAAATCTCGTAGAGTCGTGCGAATTCGTACAATTTCAAAAACGACTTTAATTTGTCGCTTATTCTCTTATAACGTGGAAAGATCTTTGGAAAATTTAGTCTAGAGATACAAAAATAGAGTCTGCGCCCTTTAGAATCAGCTCAGGTAGACTCGTTGTACGCTCTTTTTTATCTCACGAAGTTACAGTAGTCCGGAGATTGACAATTTTTCTAGAGGAAAAAGGAGAGATTTCTGTCGTTGTTGAGCAAAGTCTAGAAAATTGCAAAGAACGCTGGAAAAGTTTCGTGAGGCTATGTGGCGCAAATTGGGACGCAAAACGACGCCTCTTTCGACTGAAACATTTGCATCGGCCGATTTCACTTGCAAATTGATCGTTCGTGTTTTGCAACGTGCGCCAAAAGTGTCGGTGAAACAAAAGGCGCCGTTTTAAGAACTGTCAGAAATCAGGCCGCTCTAGATTCCTTCCAGTGAATCTATAATACTTTGGTCAGGTTTTAGAACAGTTAATCATCTATATACAGAATTTAATTTGATTGTAGGATAACTACAGAAATGCTTACCGGTTTTTAATTTACAGTTTAATTTACTTTAATCAAATCTGGTTTCAAGTTTAACGAAGTTTAATTCAAGAGCTCGCTCTAGTGTCCCCTCTGTAACTGGAATTCTTTTCGATCACGAGAAAGAAGATTATAATTAGTTACAAACTTTACGATATAATATTACATTTATCGAAAACGTTGATTAATGTAAAATATTTTCCAATTTAATAAAAGATGTAGATACGTAGCTTAGATTAGGAAAACGAAGATGAGTACGGTTTTCAAATACTCGTGCGCAAAACCAGATGACCTATTCCTTCCCTTAGATAATATTTCTGCAGCAACGTATTGCTTTAAAATGCATACCAACTGTTTTTCCGAATCGAAAGAAGGAAATTAACTGTCAATCCCTGCTCCACGTTGCACAGTTTCGAGCTTCGGGAATCCTCCATTCGTGGTTATATCGGACGAAATAAATTACAAATCTGGCTTTGAAATATGTAGTGGGTGACACTGGTATTTTCGAGCCAAATGAATTCTGTGTTTCAGTACCAAAAAAAGAACGATCGATACATCGGTTTCGAAACATCGTATATCGAGTCAGCTAATATATTAATATACTTTGATTGACGCGAAAACGAGAAACCCGTTAAGACGAAACGAAGAAAGTGACTTTCTGAAGACGTTTCGTAACTTTAATAAATAGAACAAACGATTGTCTGCTTTCGTTATTGACGTATAATTCCAATATTCAATTGCGAGGTATTCGATAATTATGCGAGGAAACTGGGGTTGATCTCGTTGCAAAGAACACGTACCTTTGCCGATAAGAGAAAAGAAAAAGAAGACATGAAAACGTCAAAATCGATTTTTTTCCATCTTAACCCCTTTTTACGAGAGCGCGTCACATTTATCTCGGGGAAGAGCGAACCGCCTCTTCCATCAGCGTTGAAAATGGACGAAGGATTAAAAACGATCGTTTAGCCCCGTCGATCAGTCGTTTGGCGCAACTCGCGCGACATTTTTCTTTGCCAATCGAAAGCATGGTGCTCCTTTTCGCTTCCTTCGGTATCCAGCGCCGCCCATTCGTTGACAACGATAAGAAATTTCGACGTACGCGAGGGCATGCAAATCGTGGCCCATTATGCACAAGTCGCGGACGTGACACGGTATGCTAAAAAGGACGCTTCCGAATAATCGGTCAGACCGAATTAATCGATACAGACACGGAGACACGGGATACAAAAGAGGCGGTGCAGTCGCGAGCAAAAATCAACCGATTCAGAAACGAAACTACAGAGGACTATAGTTTCTGATCTCTTATTTTATCTCTTATTTTCTGATGTCTTAATTTTCACCCGTCTGCTGAGTTCACGCCATAGCAGTCGACGATCCTTCTGCCACGAAACATATACGAGTCCTTTAGAAGCTAAATTGATCGCACTGAACAATTCCTCTGTCGATTTCGCGTTATCCAAGCACACAATCAGCACCCAACTCGATCATCATCATCACCCTCGATAGAGAAATCTTATTTTTCGTAAATTTATTAAATAAATAAAGATTTACAAAGTCGTAGACATCTACATGTCATAAGTTGGGGCAGATAAAAGTTCTAATTAGCCGGCTTTTCTTTGCATCCTTAGGTTTAGACAGACGAGGGACCTGGAAGCGGTTCCTGTTGAGTAAAAGCTCGGCCGGAAGCGGCGGTACGCCGCAGCACACTTCCGGTACGTCGACCGACACCGAGCTGACAACGCTGGACACCCACGAACTTTGGCTTCCGGAAAGCGAACCGCCGCCGTCGGCGATGTTCGCTCTTCACGCCTTTGGCGCCGAAATGCTCAAGTTATCCAGAGGTTTGGAGGGCATCGCCAGCCCTGGAAGCCCCACTCCTATGGGAACGCCAAGATCCACGCCTCAACACTCGCTCCAGCATCATCAGCAACAGCAACAATCGCATCGGTGCAGCTTTCGACACGGGTAAGGTTACGATAGTATCGTATACTGCGAATTTCGCACCCATATTTCTACACCACGTCGATGTTCGATGTATGGAAACGCGAAGCTAGAATATCGTACAATACGATTGCACTGATTAAAGTACAAACCAAGCACCGATTCCAAACCATTTTACGTCATACTTTTCAACCATTAATACGGAACGTCGAATTTCGATCTTCGAACATGCTCTTCCACGAGAAAAGAAAGCCTCCGATAACCATAAACCTTGCACAAAGAAAGAAATTTTTCGTAGGCAAATGGCACGACATCTACAAACCTAAAGCAACATCAAACTCGATTCGACCTCGTACCACCTTAACACGAACCTGAAATACATTCGAATAAAATTGTAAAACGACCTGGAAGCGTCGATTTCACCGTAAATATAGAAGTTTTCTCAGTCACGTTGCAAGATAAAACATCAAACGATACTTCACGCTCGGCAGATCGCTTGGTCGATCGCAGTTTCCTTCGAGAAACAACTGTCACCGCGGCGAACTGCATCCAACTGGAAAATATTCTCCAGGCGTGAGAGTGCACGGGATCGCGATTCCGATTTACGGATGCTTTCCGTGGCTCCCTTCGGGGTACCCGTCGGAAGGAGCAGCGGGAAACGCGGCAGATTTACGAGGGCCGCGGAATATTTCTCATTCTCGCGTCACGTACGTTTTTTCGCGTCTCGTATTCCACGTGGAGATTGGCTGCGCCGTTGATATCTCGGATCGAACACGGTTTCACGAACCGATACCCCTGTCGACGTAGTCGCGATTCGAGTTGATAAAGCTGCCTCGGATTGGGAGAAGCTCCTTTCTCAGGAAAGTTCATCGAAGATTTCTTCGTGCTTCTCGTCTGAGAGATTCGCCAGTTTTATGGGCATAATTTTATTACGCGATGAGAAATTTTTATTCAATTTAATTTAAAAACGCTCTAACACGATTCTTTTTCATTTCTAATTGATATTTAAGCGTATCGCTAGTTGTATATTGTCAGGAGGCTACTTTCACGAGGTTTGTTACGGTCTACCGAATGACAGCTTGATAATTAAATCGCTCCTCTGAAAAAGATATTCTCCTATACGAGTTCTTCTAAACGGCAATTAACAGCGACTGACTAAAATATTTAAACATTTATGGCAACCTTTTACCGATACCTTGTGCTATAGCAAATGTTTTGAAATTTCGTTAGCGCTATAACGAAGCTTGGTTATCATGATTAGTGTTAAATTAGTAATTTTTTTTAAATTCCACTAAACGGCCTTTGTTTCTTTTTTTTTCTTTTTTTTACAAGTTAAAAGAATTAGTCTCCTAAACGACGAGTAAAATGGATTCTCGAAAAAATGCAAATTTCGCTGCATATTAATTCTTTGCCAAATACATGTTTGCAATAAGTACCTTCCAATCTTCCTTGTACATTTTCAAATTGGTTCCATATATATCGATATAGTCGTCGCCCTAACACTAATGAAATTTCAAAATATTTTACACAACACGATACAGCGTGTGCATGAAAATTTTCTGCGATACGCGTTCGAATACTTGCAGCAACACTTGTACACGAGATACCACTTTCAATGGGTCCTTTCCTATTCGAAGTCGATGTCGTTCGATGTTCAAGGCATCGTCGTCTAGGCTGATCTACTTCCAATGACGCGTAAGTGAAGATAGAGTTGGCCGCACAAATGGGGCGTTATTCCCGCCACGGAAATTGGCTATTCGTTACTGTTCTGGGCCCTACGGCTAACTGAACAGGGAATTCAGTTGGATGTTGCCGGATCGTGGAAACGTGGATGGGGAAAAATTCACGAGGGAATTTAGCTGAGATCGCTAGGAGACACTACGACGAAAGTTTACGGGAACGAGGAAAAGTGTAAGGAGAAAAGTGTTGAGTTTCAGATTGAAAATGGGATTATTTATCGAGAGATTTGGCGGTGAAGATGAATCGATGAATCTTTGCTCGAACGTCGCAAGATCGTCGTTATTGTTCGTCGTTGTTTAAATAATAATTGCTCGATTATTAATACGACCAGGTTTTTAAACTTCGTCGGTATAACATTTTATAACATTTCCGGAATATATTTTTCCCGCTGTAAATTAGGTTAGTCGACAGCTCAGCCGTTTTTATTCTTTTCGACTCAATCCTGCTTTAGAATTATAGTTATATATCGTTTGTATGCTTTACATACATATATATGTATATACGAGCGTGTGTATTCGAAACACCCCTTCAACGTTTCTTTCGTCGATCTTTCTTTGCCATTTCTTCTGCTCTGAAAAACATATTCAAACGCAGTGCGCTAGTTTGCATTCTCTACCTCTGCATCTTACAATAGGACGAGACAGGCACAGATAAGAGAGAAAACAGGACAACTAAGCGGCACCGTCGTATTTATATCCAACAAATTATTTCGCACAACATTGCCACGTCTATAAAATCACATAAAAATAGAAACTGCTAGTTAAAACACATTGGACACGATCAAGATAAAATTATCTGATGACATAACGATCGTAGAATACGTAATATTATACGATAATCGTGTAACAAAAATAAAAAAAAAATAGATCCAGGAAAAGGCCAGAAACTTTAATTCGAGAATTTACTAATTAGAAATAACGAGTAAAGAATCGACAAAATAAATCATATAATAATACGTTTGACAACATCATTCACGACACAGCGATACACGGCAATATTCCTAAATTGTGATCAAAGGTGAAAAAAGGCAGCTGTAGAAAACCGAAAAGCTTCGCCTGCAAACAATTCACCGGAAGAGAATAGCAAGAAAGGAAGAAAACTGGAAGAAATGAAGAACCAATGTTTGTCGGGAATCACTTAAATCAATCTCAAGTTGAAGAGATTGAAGATTGCCGAAGAGTAGGTAAAATTTCTGGAATCGTTGTTCCACCAGCTCGTAACAACGTAACGGGTAATCTTAACGAATTCAGGTCAGTTGGAAGGAAACGAAGAGGCAATGCTTCGGGGCTGCTTCGATCCTCTGCTCGAAACTGTCGATCAAGGATACGAGGTAACTTGTCGAACGCGGTAGCGACGAAACATGCCGACGTGACCACATTTCGCCTGGCTGCGAAGCGGTCGCGTTCACCGATAATATCGCAAGTTCACGCTGCCTCAAGCGTTCTCGGCATGCAGACGTTAAGCGTCCTTCGATGAAGTATGGACCGTGAGACGGTTCGCTAATACTTCGCGTCACACCGGTCTGAAATATGTGGCTCTTGACCGCTATTGGGAATTAGGTGCCGTATTTGCCAATTATTAGCGTAGATTGCTTGCCCGAGGGATTTCACGGTGAAATATTGGCGTTTAATGCGGCCACACTTTTTACATCCAAAGGGCAAGAAAATTATCGGCGAACTTGCAAAAGATAGACCGCGTAGATATTCATGCAAATTCGTACTTTTACAAATACAATTAGAAAAACGGCACGTGGACATTTGTGTAACGCATTAAGCGCTGTAACGAGCAATATACTTTGCATATATCATATACTCTGGCGCGTTACAACGGCTATAATTTCGCAAGCGTTATCGTACCACTTAACGTCGTATCGTCGTGCAATAAATATTATTTATTATAGGATGTACAATAGCGATTAATAAGGCGCAAGTATATTAAGCTTCGTACGGTTTAGTAGAATGAAAGGCTGGAAACTGGTCGGTGTGGCAAGAAGCGCACGAAGCATGTTGCACGGCAAGAAACAAAGAATCCGTTTGCGTGGAATTAATTGAATCGTTATTTCGAGAACAATGATACGGACAGACCTTTTGTCTCTCTTTCTCTCGGCAAGAAAGCTTTGCCGGATGGATAGAAAAAGGAGGCTGCCGTTTCCAGGACAATTACCAGACACGACCAAGTTCTCCCGAACTTTTGGCCCTTCAAAGAGCTTCAAAGTGACGAGCAAAGCACGAAGCTACGACACGAATCCTTTGTGGATACGACTAAGTGCATTCCTTTATTAGAGTGCCCCAGGTAGGTAAGAGCAGTTTACTTAAGTGGCCACCGGCCCGTTTTGCACTTTGAATGCCCAGTAGCTAAGTGCGATCCACTAGCGAGGCCTGGAACCACCATATATAATGGCTTTCCTGGCGCGGAACGACCTTTCCGTTCGCTTCTTCCCTCGCCCTTCCGCCCATGTTTATTTCCTGCATTTTCCCTTTTTCAATCTTTTTAAATCATTCCCTGTTTTTTCTTTTTTTTTTTTTTTCTTTTTCACCAATGACTCCGAGTTACGTCGATGGACGTGGTTCGTTCGAACAAGTGGCGAACAATTTGACGAACTCGATTTGACGCGATTCCGCACAACGTTCGATTATAATCGCAGATAAAATTCGCACTTTTAATTGCAAATGCTGCGAAACTTTACATTTCCCGATAACGGATGACACAACGGCAGCTTGAAAGTTCCATTGGAAAAAACATTCCAATGACTTCTCCTTGGATCATCGACGTGCTCGTCTGTAAAACGAACGGGTGAATGCCTGCCATTGAAATATATCCGATCGAAGAGAAAAATGTGAAGTGTCGCTGGATCGGATACGTTCGCGTTTTGATTTTGCCACAAGCACTCGAAGCATCTTCAATCAATCGCGTTGGTCGAGCGAATAGGAAGACCTTGGTCAACGATCATTCAACGATCGATTTCGGTAACAATATCCTATTCCAGTTTCAATTTCGAAAGTGTTGGGAATCGTTCTATCAAGCCATCGAGCAGCTGAAAAATTTCCGCACCGATGTTTCCCCACCTGTCCCCATTTTTCATCTATTACACGCCATCCATTTCTCTACCAATCGACACTATTTTGCTTCAGAAAACTGTTATTCCTTCGCGTTGTCTTTTCTTCTAATAAGTGGTCGATAGATTTTTATGCAAATTCGTGGTTTCGAGAACGCGATTGAAAAAGTAGGGCAGAAAATTGTAAAATCGGTAGAAAATTGTTTTACCTATCGATCGTTACACGAAGTAATTACGCACTTTGGATTAGTTTCGACAACATATACTTTCGCGTAATTTGACATATATTTCTCAGTGGTTGAGTACTTCGTTGTCGTTCGACGTGTCTTTTCTCTCGATGCCTTGCTTCGAACGGTAATGCTAACGCTATTATGAAATTGATATCGTTGTAATGAAAGTTTCCCGTGGAATTTTAAAAACACGGAGAAAGTTATTCGAAGAATTCCTTGCAATAATCAGGCTTCCGGGGGAATGAAAAGCCGCATGGACTGGATGAAGAATCTTCGACGATAGTATTGTACAGTACATATTTTGTAATAGCCGGCGGCTATTATTAAATAACTTTGCCGGAGATATAGAAAAAAGATTATACGTTATCGAGATCTGAACATTCCTGTCCCGTATAGAGCAGATTCCCTGTTTTTACCCAATTTTGTATTACGAATTTCTTGTTTCACGCAAGACGAGGCAGATTATCGGAATATATCCGAAGCTTTGACAGTTCAGACGGCTTAATCTACTAAAAGAATATGATTCTCAGCATCCTCATTTTCCTTCTCGACAACTTTCTTCGGTTACGACGCGAGTATCGCCGGAATTTATCTTATCTTAAACTTGAAACTCGTTTCTTACTTTAAACTTCAAACTCATCCGAGTCCCGATATTTTTAAATTCATTCTCCTCCGCGTTTCTTTCTTTCGCCTTCTCCTCTCTTAACTTTAATTCCATTTTCAAGTTTATCCAGTCTTAATGCCAATCCATCTCTCCGTTTCAACTTTTCAAGTCTCCGAATTCATTCTTTTCAATTTCACTGCCACCTGCTTCCAACGTTTCCAAGTTACATCGCCGTTTCGATCATCATTTTCTTTATTTTTAATTTCTCCCCGTCTTCCTCCATTCTCGATCCGACCGAATTTCCATTCGACCCGAAACACGCGTTGACTCGATTCGACCATTCGACGAACCTTCGCTGCGAGAACTTCGATCCCAACGTATTTCGAATTCCAAATTCGCTATCGGCCGAACAGAAATCCCGCACAAGTTCGCTCGCTTTAATTCCAACTCGTTTTCAATTCCAAACATACCGTTGGTCGTGTCGGAAGCCTTTGCGACTCCGCTCGTTTTAATTCTAATTCGTTCGAGACTCGATTCGTTCAAGAGCCACGACTCGTTCGAACTGGCGTTGCTCGCGATGAAACCGAGCTTCATCGGCGCCTTTGCCTTTGGTTCGTGGCATGCAATAATGGCTGGTTGATCCCCAATAATGGATAGAACGCGTCAAAAGTGGCTGGCGCAGCTGCGTTTCATATATGTCCGATTTATAGCGGCATTCGTCGGCCTTTTTCGTCGAGAGGTTGTACCGTTCCTGTTTTTTTTTTTTTTTTTTTTCTTTTTTTCAATCCACGCGATCCATTACCGCGCTCCATACAGACAGGGCGAAAGGAAAGGAAAAAATGAGAAGTTGGACGTAAAAATGCACTACCTTTCGAGAACGCTTTCCATCGGGATGGAACGCGAGCATCGTCCTGTGTCACGTTCCACGAATTATTGTACATTTCTCTAGTGCCTCTAGGATGCACCGATACGATGCTCGGTTTCCAGTAGCTGCGAGCTATTATACTTTGAATCGATAAAATATATGTTGATCGATAATGAAAGTTGCTATAGAAAGGAAGGAAAGTTTGAAAAACCACTAGTCCGCCGTAACTGAATCTCTCGTTTCACCTACTTTCTACGAATCGTATCGCTGGAAGAGGTTGGCAGGAAAATATGATACTCCGACTGCGTCCATAAATCGTAAACTTTGATGATTAAATAGCGCATCTTTCAACAGCAACGTAGTAAATCTTCGGTTTAAAGAAAAAGGAAGAAAAAGAAAAGCAGAAGGTTATAACGAACGATGTTAATCTATTATAATAAATCACTGTACTCTCGAGCGAAGTATCTAAACTTTGTCGAAAACGACTACGAAGAACTCGCACGATTCTGTCTACTACGCGTTACCATACGAGTTACAGATTACACTTATAAACCGAATATCGTATCGATACGACGAAGAATCTCACGAAATGCTGACCGCGACTATTTAACATTCCAGGAGCGGAGAAAGCGGAAGCAGCGCGTCCGGTTCTCGAACGAGCCTCTCGATACCGGAAGACCTAAGCTCGCCCACCCCGTGGAAGCATCGGCGACGCGCGTCCACCTTCAACGAGGCTCATTTGGAACGGGCGGAATCGGGTTCGCCGAGAACACCCAGGAAGCGATCTTTCAGCTTCCACGAGCAGCCAGTGTTCGGCCGCGGTTCCGTTTCGCGGAAGAACTCGTCGAACGAGGAAACCTCGAGCACGCAGAGGAAATCGAGCGATAAACAGGAAGGCGAAATCGCGTTACCTCCGCCGTGTACCTGCCCCTATTTCGGCGAATCGTCCAAGAGACCACCTCCGCAACCATCCAGCGAGATCGTGATCGTTTCCAGCGATACCATGAAGCCAATCTCGGGGAAGAATCTGGAGGCTGCGTTTCTCGGTAGAAGCAACAGCGGTAGAATGGATGCCAGCAGAAGCTACGAGCCAAATTCTGTCGTCACGTGGAGGAGCGGCAGAAGAGGATCTAGTTTAGGTGGGTGCGAGTTCATTGGCAATGAAAAGAATCGATAAAGTGGCTTTTGGTTCGATGCTGCTATTGATCTGATTTTTTTTTTCTTTTTCTTTTGAGGTTTTGAGATTGGAGACACGAGTTCATTTCTTTCCTGGTAATCGAGAGAATTCTGCATTTTACAGAGAAAAATCTTCCTTCTCGCGATACTCGCATTAAAAGGCGATTAGGTATTGGGAATAAGGAGAATCGATAAAGTGATTTTTGATTTGCTGCTGCTATTCATCCGATCTTTTTTCTCTTTTTTCTTTCCTCTTCTTTTTTGGAAGGGGACGAGATTTGGAATTGGAGACACGAATTCATTTCTTTCCCTGCAATTGAGACAGTGCTGTGCTTTATAGGAAACTTTCTGCTTCGCTATGCTGCGTCAAAAGATAGTTTCATTATTTACAAGTGCGAACGAGACGACGAAGAAGGATCCAGCTTAGGTAGAACGTTCAAGTTGATTGGAAATAGGAACTGGTTGGCAAAGCGGTTTCTAGAACAGTTCGGTGCCAGTTAATTTGGTTTTTTAGCCCGTCGACGCGGAAATCGATATGATAAATCGATTGTCTCGATTGCTGCCGTTTTCGTTTCTGGTCGCATTTAATTTTCTTTAGGGTATTAAAAGTTCTACGAGGCGAATTTAGTGACCTAATTAATTGTCACTTTCGAGAAGCAGTTGTTAACTCGAATATACTGTCAGATGCGTTTAATGTTGCAGAACAGCTGTAGAGATTAACTGATAGTCGTTAATTTAAACACAGGCTGTAACTCAATTAATTACCAAGTTCAACACATGATCAATTCCGAAACTACGGTATACAGTGTACATCCATATACAGGGTGTGTCCTCCAAGATTAACCACCCCTTTTTAGTCATCGACTCGTATTATTACTCAACACTCTAACATGAAACCAGATTAAAATGCGAGGAATCAGAAACGCGTCGTCCTTTTGAAAGTCTCACAAATTCTTTCTCTTCGCTAAAATTTGTAAGATCGAAAGATAAAAATTCGTCGCGGAGTTGACTTTCCTGTAAATAAATGAACATGCACGATCCATTCGAATCGTGCTCGCCACGACGAATCGTAAAATCTTCCAAAGCTACGGTCCTTTGTTTCGATTCCAAGAGAACAACGAGACGGATAAGCAAAAATTCGTAACAGCATCTTTTTCGCAATAAATGTGTTTTTCCCCATAATCCGCCCGAATCGAATTACAGCGCCCACGATCGAGACTTAGGAAACTATAATTCTTCGTTTTAATTCCACAGGGAACACAAGAACCGCGCTATTGACCACGAGAGGTGGTCCGATCCGGCGTGCAGCGACGATGCGTGCTCATAACGGAGCAGCGAGCATCAGCTCTAAGCAAAGCAGCAATTCATCCTCGCCGTGTCCGCACAGATACTCGGGGCCAGTTCGTAGCCACCATTCGAGAACCAGCAGCGTTGTTTCACGAAATAGCTCGCGACACGGAAGGATCATCAGGCTGGAGCAAAAAGCCACGAAAGTTCTAGGCGTCGTTTTCTTCACGTTCGTGGTCCTCTGGGCGCCGTTCTTCGTCCTCAATTTGATACTAGCCGTGTGTCCCAACTGTGAAAGGCAGATCAATCACAAGATCTTCGATTTGGCTACTTGGTTGGGCTACGCCAGTTCTATGGTCAATCCTATCTTCTACACGATCTTCAACAAAGTCTTCCGACAGGCCTTCAAGAAAGTGTTGCTCTGCAGATACAGAAACCAAAGCTGGAGGCCGTCCAGGTAGGCCTTCGGCCCCGGGAGACCGGGGATCGCCGTCACCAGGGTTTAAAGTCGTTAATAAACGTCGACTTCCGGTAGCAGCGGAAGCGGAGGAACCGTGGTTGACCGGCCGTGGTTTCTCAATTAATTACGAGCCACGGTGAAGCTTTGGTTGTTTCATGATCGCAGATAAACTGAAGAAGATTTTGTGAAAATCTGGATAATATATATGTGTGTGTGTATGTGTGTATTCGAAGCTGCTGTGAAAGTTTAGAGTGAAAATGAAACGAGGATTCCATTGAATTAAAACGAGCGGAAGAGTGGAAGCGAGGCGAAAAGAAATTATCGAGAACATGCAGATCGTTCCTAGTTGCAACAAGTGACGTTTAGTGAATTGTGAAGTATGATAGAAAGATGTTTTCGATATAATATAGTCACGAACCATGGTCAAGCAGTTAGATCGTTCGATTGTGAAGGAAAAAGCGAAGAAGCTTTTTTGTAAAAGCTTTGATAAATTGGGAAAAATACGGAATCGAGAAAGGCAGGAAAATTGAAGCGAATACATCGTTACAAGCTGCAGTGAGTGATACTTCGCGAAAAAGAAATTCTTTTTTTTTTTTTTTCAAATAAAATAATTACGAACAACAGTGAAGGTGAGATTGATTCTCGAAGGAAAACCGAAGAAGCTGTTACGGAATCTTAGATAATCGAAAAACGAAAAATATTGAATCGAAGTGAGATATTTGAAGTTCCAGCGAGTGACGTTCGGTAAAGTTGTAAAGAACGATACAAAGAATACCCTTTCTTCCTTTTGTTAATAAAATAATTCGAGAAGCTTACGTAGATCGGATAACGCGAAGACAGGTGTACTTGAAATGAAGAGTTTCCAACGAAACTCCTAAGTGAACTACGAACTGCAATAAACGTTCCTTCCTTCTGTAGGCGGAGCTTCCGTGAGATCGGAAATCGGAACACGCGAGACGAGCAATTTAGATTAAGGACTTTAACGATAATCGACTTGTTAAGGCAGAGTTTCGACGATTAAGGTTTCCAATGCGAGCTGAACACTTCATCTTCCAAAAGCGGTTCGACGAGCTTTCGCGATATCGATAAACGAAACTACGATACTTGACCGAACTAGGGTTAAAAGAAGCGAGACGAGAGACTAGTAGAAGGAGCTTCCCTAAATGCGCGACATAAAGCGAGCTCAAATCTTCCGCCTGACATTCATCCGTGTGTGTCGTAATTAAATTATGGCGACGATTCGAAAAATTGTCGCACCACTTTCACCCGTTCATCCCCGTACAACATCTTTACTCGTTCCGTGCGATTCTTAACACTGTGGACGTTTATGCAAATGAATATTTTTCTAAACGTCGTCAAGCATACGGAACCCAAGTAGACGTTTCTTTTATCCGTTTGTTTCATAACGAGTACTATATTTTCGATATTTTATATAGGACATATTTTTGCATTTTACGTGAGTATTCTGTGAGTTTCCGCGTTCTTCGACGTTTCGTGCGTACGCATAAAAGGCGGCAGTTTATTAATAAAGAACGACGAACGCGTTAGGTCGTAACGCAAGTAATTCGCGATCTTCGTTACGATTTCCCGGTGGAAACGAGGCGCTGTTGCTCGAGAACCTTTCAGCTAACGAATTAAGGTCATTGTCCATTTAACGACACAGCAAACGAACACCAACAGCTCGGTATTAAATACTTGGTATTCTTGTACATAGTCTAACCCTTTCGCTACTAATGGCCACTGCCGTGGCCTTTCGCAAACTTATCTCTGCGTACGAATGGCCATTATAATGCACAGCTGAAGCAAATGTACTGCGAACAGTAGGTAAGATAACATTAGGTTACGTCGTAAGCAATGCGGTTCTCTTGCCAACTATCTGTTGGTAATAGGTTTGCTGCGTAATAAACATTGTTCCGCGATAAAAAATATTCATAACGATAAGTATCATACGGATGATGCAAATTCTTCAACCTCCTGCGAAACGGAAGTCGAGTAATGAAATATTAATCCTGAATTAAATTGCTCTGAAATCGGACGAAATGTGCTTTCATTTTACTCGCTCGATACCTTTGGTAGTGGAAAATGATCGTTAGAGATCGTTTACTCGAAGACGATACAAAGATATAGTCGTTGATCGTTGGATTTCTATCGAGCGCACTTGGGACTTTCTCGAATCCTTTCGCCGAGAAATATTAGGTTGTCCGAAAAATGTCTTTCGCTATCTGCACGCAGTTGCTTCATCTGGCTATGTCGATACAAACATGAAAGCTACTATGTCAAATTTTGTGCTCTTTAGCTTCGATCGTCTTCTAGCTGTCGTAGGATACGTTTCGTTTGCGTTAAAACGAAAAATATTGTGCAACTATTATTTTCTTCTGAAACGAAAGAAACTTTCAAGACAACCTAATACTTTCATCGCGCGTTGTTCAGCGACGATGAATTTTAGTAAATTGTTACTGTAAACGATAAATAAGAGATGAATATACATTAGCATCGACGTTCGTGCGTTCTGGGCATTCTCGCGTGATAATTTATTATTTATCGCTGGATTCGTCTGCTTTCCTATCCTTCTTCTTTTTTTTTTTTTAGAATCTTCCCTTTAAATATGACAATCAGACGGCTCGTAATTCGCGAAACTGATTTCCAGCCGTAGCAGAGATTAATTCGAATAATATCTCAAAGTTTTGAATCCCAGTAACTGAACAACCTTTCTTCCATCCGTTCTTTCACAATATTACGTTAAATACGAGACAATCAGCGCTGGCTAGTAATTCACGAAGCTGACTCGCAGAGATTTATTCGAATAATATCTCGTAGTTTCTTGATCAGAAGAACCGAACCACCTTTCTTCCACTGTTTTTCGATGGTCGACGCAATAAAACACGACAATCACTAAAAATTACGGGACGTAGGGTTCCGAGAGGAATACGAACGGCGATGGGTCACGGGGAACCGAAACGCGAAGGTCGTAAATAGGAGCGACGTTCCTTTTCAGAACACGATCACGGATAATCGAGACTCCATTGTAAACGGAACTGATCACATTGACCACTGAAAGGTTCTCGTAACAAACAACCGGCTGCTGCGATAAAACCTACATACATAAAAGCGTATCGATATCGCTTTCTCTTGATGCGAAACCCGGGGTACCTACCGGAAGCTCTACAGCGAAAATTGAAACGGCTGTATGCTGTAGCTGGATTGGCCGAGTTCGTGTCATAAAGCAAACAGCTTGGACCAGTTGAACCAGCGGAATACTAGATTCGGAGAAAAGGAATCTGTTCGATTTTAGTTTGCAATGGACGTAGTTTGAAAATTTCCATCCTCTCGGTATGCGTCGAGATGACCACGACGACGTGCAGAGAAAAATTGATCGCGTGTGTTCAAGTTTTGAAGGAAATTATATTCGCGCGTGTTGAAATTTTAAAGGAAATTATATTCGCTCAGGGGCAAACTATCAACAGTAGGAAGACTCTGATCGTTGATTTTCGCGTTGCAGGAGTTCGACTGAAAGGAGAGGAGGTTTAAAATCGAAGCAGAAGTTGTCACACGGCAAACTAAATTAACGAGAGACGATTCGTTTCTTCGCTCTACGCGTATCTACGTTTGTTAATTACTGAAAAAAGTGGTTAGAACGTAGCTAGTTCGGAAATGCTCAAACAATCGGAGTCTGTGGACAAAATGGAACAGTCGTGTCGCCTGGCTGATCCATGTGGAACGTAGAAAAGAGAGTTCACGTTGGAAGGATGTGGTGGAATACCTGGAAGAACGGATTCCGTTTCTCCGTGCCGAGTTCTACAGCGAACGTGAGCAGAATTGACTTAATCGAAGCGAGAACAAACAGAGCGGAGAAGTCTAAAGCCGATACGACAGGCATATTCCGTTTGGTGGAAGGTAGAAAGGAAGAGTGGCTGAGCGGCGAAATAACGATCCCGATCGAAGCGAAACCGAAAGAAAGCACAAAAGCAGTTTCTCGGCAATTTTCTACCGTAAGAAGTTGCTGTCCCTTTCGACAGATTACCCTGGCGAGCGGTCTGACGATAAAACCTCAAATGGAATGCGTGAACCGACTGTCTACTGGCTGATTTCTCGCCGGTTCCCCGACACCGATTGCGTGTAATCGCAAGCAAAATCGTTTTGTAAAAGGAAAACCCAATTACGCGTTCGCGCGTATACAGCGATTTTGATATTTCTCGAACGATCGGTTAATCGAAAACGTAAGGTCTGAGAAGGTTGGTTCAAATTTTCGTTCGCGTTTCGTTGCCGCTAAACATCGTTCGTAGATGAAACGTCGAAACGAAATGTTTATAATCGCGCGTTACTATGATACGCGATAATCCGATGTTTCGAACGACTGCTTAATTTGTGATACTACGACGAAAAAGAAAAATTTTTACGTTACTGTATATAATGATCTAATATTTTCCAACCTCTGGCTAATTCGCGACGTTCGACCGAAAGCGTCGGTTGCGTCGAATCCGAGCTGTTCTCGTTTGCAGGCGGAAAATCCAACTGCGCTTGTTGCAACGTGTTGCACGCTACACGGTGATTAAATATTTTTTACAGACTGATTGATTCGCGACGTCGTTCTGAACGGGTTAGTTGGATATTTGGTTGCGTTAAAGTCGCACCAAACACGTTTGTAAATAAAAAGTTCGCGCGTTACTACACCGATTCCATATCTTTTGCCGATTAATTAATCGTAAAATCGAACTGAACATCGATATAATGCGTTGAATGAAACGGAGAAGGATAAAGCGTTAAAGGTTAAAGATATTAGGTTGCCCGAAAAGTGTCTTTCTTTTGCAGACACGTCTTTTACAACGACGCATCTTTGTACAAACATGAAACCTAATCTAATCGAACGTTGTGATCTTTATTTTGATAGAACAAAATGGATCATACGTAATTCGATAAAATAATATAAAACGGAAAATATCGTGGAAATGTCGAAAGAAACTTTTCGGACGACCTGATAGGTAACAGAAGATGGAATTATCCAACGCGTGAGATTGAGATATCAACACGAAACATCGGTATCGATCTAGAGACGATTGAAAACTAACAAATACCGCGAGGTATCGTTAAGTTGGAGAAATTATTCGAGCTACCGAGTATAATCGATATGATAATTTAATTCGCGCGTTTAAGTATATTTGTAAATAGTCGTCGAACGTAATCGTCATTTATATCGTTAAGAAACGTAAATAAAATCAAGTAAAATTCACTTGAACGCGACCGCCTGTGTGTGTGTGTATGATCGAAGCGTAGGTGAATAACGATCGAAGGTGAAAACGAAAAGGTGAGCGTTCGAGGATTCGATCGGAGAAAGGAACTAGTGGTTAGAAAACGTTAATCTCGCGTGCTTAGTGAGAGAGTGGCGGGATCTCTGAGAGATTCTTAGGAAGATTGCGAGCCCAAGCAGAAGCCAGAAATCCTTTTCGCTAATCCTGAACCCGATTGCAATCGCGAATAAGACCTCGTTCCCTTCGATCGTACGAAATCGCTGAGTTTCCGCGATATTTATCGCTGTTCCACCGACGCGATTCTTCCACCGTTAACGCTTTGCTGATTTCACAACGACGTTACGCTTTGTGCAACTTTTCTTCGGAGGATGAACAGAACGTCGAAGGTTTTGACAATCTTCTAACGACTTTTCACTTCTATCTCGCCTTTCTGTAAGCGTCGTAATATTTATGAGCCAAGTAACAAGAGCATTATAGGTCGATGCATTGGAAATAAAGCTTCGTCAAGGAATTTCAGTTTGGCCCAGGTTAGTGCGAAATAAATATGTCGCGATACATTGTCCGAACGACAGATATTTACGAAAAATGATATTCGTTCTAAACGTTAATTAATTGCGTTAATTATTCTAAATTGATCGATATATTTTGAGACGACTGCTGGTTTTCAAACGGCATCTCATCGATGAAATATATTGTACGCCTTGAGGAATAACGACCGGCATTCTTAGACTCATTCATAAGATGATTGTACGCTATAATTCTACGCTAAACCCACGGGAAACCGTTCGATGAAACTAAACAAATGCGTTTATGTGATAGATTGGGTAAAACTAGCAGTACGTGCAACTTTTGTTAGTTTGTCGTATTTCACAGTTGGTTTGTTTTCCCTTTTCGTCGGGGAAAAAATACGTCTCGTCGTATTTCATTTGCAGAAACCAAATCGCAGATCGATAAGCTAAAATTGTGACGGGCCTGTAACTGAAATAAATGGCTGGAAATAACGAGGACGAATCACCCGCAAGCAATACAAACTATAGAAAGATGACACGCAATTTGGTAACGATAACACGGTTCTAGGACAACAATTGAATAAATAGTTAATCGCAAATCGCATTTGCGTGACGCGAGATTCGTTAAACGGTCCGTCAGCAAGTTAAAATTAATCATCGCAAGAGCAACGTTTGAATAGAATGATTAACGCGGTCATAGCGTAAATAAACAACAAACGCAAGGTAGCCCTGCGTGAAAATCAATTTTTCAAGCTGATGGTGGCCCCGGCTTTCGACTTCTCGCCCCTTGCACAAATGCAAAGCAGAGGAACAGAAAAAAATGAGAAAAACATGGAAAATCGAAAGAAAGCTTCGAACTGTTAAAAAGACGAGAAATGTAACGGCGATAACGTTGCGTCGCTGCGGAAACGACGAACGAATCGAAAATATAGAAATATGACGAATTACAAAGCAGCAAGGGATAGGATTTTAGAATATCAGAGGGAGAAAAACGAAGAAAGATTAATCAGAAAAGCAGGAAGTCTGAAACGTGATAGAGTCCAGATAGTACGACGACTGAAATTAAAATTAAAATTAAGTAGGTTAAAGAGGGTTATAAATCGGTTAAAAAAAAAAAGTAAAGAGATATTAACAAGAAAGTGTAATGAATCAAAAAACTAAAGACGAGAGAAATGAAGCACGAAAAAAGAAAATAAAAGGTACGGAGGCAAAAGGTTAAAAACGAAGACGGAGGAAATAACGATCGGAAAAGAAAAGGTTAAAGGTAAAGGAAGAAAAATTATGAAAAATCGAAAAGGAAAAAAGAAGCTGAAATACGAGGGGGGGGGGGAGAGGCGATGGATGGAAAAAGTGAAAGGTGAAAGACAGTTTCACCTCAACCCTAGATGCTGAAATAAGGGTAGTGAGAGAGGGAGGGGGAATAAAGGAAGGAGAGGGGATAATGAAAGATTACCAGCAGGTCGATAGGAAAACGATTAAGCTAAAAAACGACCGATAATTTTCATCCTATGAAATCGAACAAATACGATAATAACAAATTTATATGCCATTTATATACCTCGCCTATAATACACGCAACTATTAATTGCAATTACGATATGAGAGCAAATTCGACGCGATTCAAGACTGATATAATTAATTTTTAATTGTTTAGATACGTAACCCGAACGCGAATCCTAATTTACGAAGGATAAACACATCGTTATTTAATCTGCTAGTAACCGCGTCGACGATTCCCCAAGTCGGGATCGACCTCGTTCCTAGTTTGAATTTCAGTTTAACAATTTCATAGAATTTACAAAGCGGATAAACAGTCGGAGCGGTCGTTAAATGCTGGAAATTATGCGAGCAAGAAGAAATCGAGACGGCCGGATTCTTCGTAAAACTCGCAACAACAGAGGAATTTGTTCGCGCTGACGAGCCATACAACTGGGCAAAATAATCACATAAAATAAACAGTATTCTAATCCAATTAAGCTTTATCCCATATAAGAGATTCGATCCTGATCATGAACTTTAGACCGTAGCGAATTTTGAGACCACGGTGCGGCCGCGCCACCGTAAATTCGGATCAACTTGGACAGGAATTTAAATAACTAATGGTTCAGCTTCAAAGGAGCTTCAAGAGCAAGATAAGCCGCGGAGTGATGGAAGCTCTTAGGTTAATCCTCTGTGGGAACCGCTACTCCCGTAATTATTTGACACAAGTCTGCGAATCTAAAAATAATCGATCCGCGCACGTATTATAAATTTGAATTTAAACAAACATCTATAACAGATGATAATGATTTGATTATACGTGTTACTCGAATAAAATACTTGACATATTTTGCTAATTACTGCAAGTAATTTTTTTTTACCAATTTCGCGAATAATTTCGCTATTATCCGAGTCTTTTCTTCTTTCAAGTAATTAGTTAAATATTTGAAATAGAGAATATTTTTGCCTCTGACAGATCGAATCTTCTCTAAATTAATATAGTATCGGCTAAATTAGTATCCAACCAATTATATCATGGAAAATAGCGATTTCCAAAAGCTATGATACTCGTGCAAACGAAATTGGCTTCTGCCTCGTTACCGAATACGTTACCGAATACAAATTCCATTAACTACTGCAAGTAATACATTTACAGAATCTGATTTCAAGTTATTATAACTATCTATAACGTAGAACAACCTGTGTATATAGGATAACGCCAAACGGTATCCTTTTTATACTGCTGTAAATATACTATAAATATCGATATTTCGAAATACGCAAGCATTTTTTAATAATAAAAAAAAAAAAGTAACGCGCGAACTCGTTCGAATTTAATTGCCGGAATTGTAAAATACACGACCTGAAATACCAAATTTTTGCGCCAGTGTCGTTAAAACGAACCAACTATTCGAAAGGATTAAAAGAGTAATCGAGAGATATCGTGGATATTAAGCGGAAAAATCTAACTTTTATTATAACGTCGAATATGTAAATTCTTTTTAGACTAGAGCTGCAAATAAGAAACGATGATTCTTTAAAGTTTAGCGCACGTAATTAATAAAACGTCTATTATAACGATAAATTCGTAGATTCTTTGTAATCGAAAGTTACACGTTAAAGAGAAGCTTCCTGACGCGATGCAACTTCCTAACGATTTCCCCATTGGTCATCTGGAATTTTCCTAAGTCTAAGTAACGTTCAACGTTTTTACCAACACTGATATTTATAAAAGTGGTAGCTGTGCGCGCGTACAAGAGCAAAGAGCGGAGAAGCATGCAACTGCTGTAAGTTTGTGCGTGCGGTTGATCGCGCCTTCTGTATATCAGAATCACACATCGTGCAAATATATTCTTCGTAGCAGTCGTCCCGCTGCGCGTAATTAACGTTGTCTGTCACGCTTTGCAGCGTTAACACGCAGCGTTACGCTAACTTATTTTTCGTGGAAATGATCGCTCGATCGATGGAACGAACTTCCGTGTCACGAGAGTAATTTCGTTTCGAAGAAATTGTTTAAACGAAATTGTAATCATTAAGGACTATATTTCATCGTGTAAAGTTTTAACACCGTTTTACCACTGTTAATTTATAATAAATTGTTTCGACAAATTATTCTCGATTAATTATTCTAATAAGTTATTCCCCCCCAGAGGCTTCCTAATATTATGGCAGGAAGGATTTGCACGGGAGATTAAAACAAAATCCTGCAAATACGCAACGTTATACTTTAACGCATTATCATTTAACTGCTTTAGTATGTAAAAGTTGGTTTTACGCTTTAATTACTTTATTCCTTTCTTAATTACGTATTATTCTTCCCAGCTTCGTGCTTATATCGTGGCTCGTTTAAAAAATACATTCGAACGAAATCACGGTGTTCGCAATTGTTGGAGAATAAAGGCACACCGATGATAAAATTGTTAACTCGACGGAAGAAACACAGTAGCAAAGACGTGATATTTCGCATTGTACTTCTAATATCCAGAAATCAATTCGCATTAGGCGGTCAAAGGAAAAGTAGGTCGAACTGCTCGAATGAAGTTCTCGATGCGAGATATTCAGCTGGTTGAATGATCAGTGGGATATATACAG